AATTGTTCCTACATATATTGTAGCTTATTAAATGAAATAACTCAAATTCCAGTTTCTGAAATTACACACACACACACACATATATATATATATATATATATATATATATATATATATATATATATATATCCAAAATAAGAAGTTCAGTTATTTACAAAATTTCCTGTTTTTTGATTTTAGAGGGCAGTCACAAGATTGAGTTGGATACTTCTTTCTCTTTTCTCCAGCCTCTATGACTAGCCACATGAAAGCAACAGGTGAAAGAAAACATGGTAAAATTTAAAGATTATTTTTTCACTCGTAATTTGCATGACGGATTGTGCTAAACTTTGCCTGGAATTATGTCAGGATATTCTTCAATACAACAATTTATCTTGCAAATTACCCAAAACCTTTCGGGTTTTTTTCCCGTTTGGTTTTGAATTGCATTAGCTATTTTCCCCCTCCTTCATAGTCATGAACAACACGTTGGAACCTTAAATCATTGCCAAGCTTGGTGAACATGCATAAGTAAGTCACTGGCTAAAATCTGTATCTTAAAAGTGGAATAAGTCAAAAAGAAAAAACTGATTTATAATATCATCTGATAAGAAAAAATAACACATTTCATAAATTTACTAGATATGATATTACATGTTTAAAATTCTAACAAGCTCGTATTATTGATTTAAATACATGTCAAAGATTGTATTTAAAATCTTCTATCATTTTGCTTCATGCCTGAAAAAGAAGAATCAGGATTTTCTTTTAAGTACTTCAAAATCATGTGACGAGGAAATATTTATGAATCTATATTTCTTATATGCATCATAAGAATGGAAATATTCCCAATAGTAGATTAATTACAACAAAGATACCAAGATTGCCAAACGAGATGTAGTTTGTCAATCAAGGATTCCACACTTCTGTAAAATGCTGATAGATATGATTGTCTTTACAATCAATCTGTTGTCATGCATTTAAATTATTTTATTTGAGCATCATTAAGTAAAACTGTATACGGTTTTTTTTATCAAAGCATATCAAACATGTAATAATTATATATTTACCTAATAACTGTCTGAGAATGTAGGTAACTCAGCAAACGAGAAGAATATATATATGTCAATTTTTGATTCTTTTGTTAGATTCTGATCAATTATATGAGGTATATCCAAAGTATTGCATTGTCTAAGTAACGATAGATAAAGTAGACAAAGAAAATCACGTATAAAACATGATGATTAATTTTGATGTCATAAATGTTCTAGAAGTTGAAGTTGAGAAGCATTGCTTAAAGAATATATTTTCTGACTATTAGACAGATTCACTTACAAATATTTTGTAAAAATAATTTTAAGAGAAAAAAAAATATGGTATATACAAAGATCAAGCTTCATGATTTATGATTCATATGTCAATAAATTGAAGTGCAAATTGACATGGTAGATATTGTAAACATAAATTTTCTTTAGCCATAGTAAAAAAGTACATCCAAATAAGTTTTTTCCAGCTAGAACAAGCGCATAGATATGTAATGATGATAAATTTTTATATTAAACTTGTATTAGCATTTCACCTAAATAAAAAATATTGTCATCATGATGTATTCAGACAATATTCAATCGAAGAATTTTGAGCCATGTCATATATAGTTCTGGTCACATGATCTTTTCTTTAATGATTAGTTTTGGACCATCAAAGTAATATTTTTCCATTATCAAAGAAAATGCTTATAGAGGCATTCCTCTATATAATGAGTCATATATGGAATGGACAGCAGTAATGAGATCTGATAAAACTTTATTTTCCTCTTCAACTTGTTAACAGATGTAGGTAGTGAAAATATATTAAAAATATTTCAATCCAATTAGAATCATTATATATTTTTAACCAACTTTTGTGCCTAACAGCGCTTGTTCTCAATGTATTGCACTTCTAAAGAAATGTGCACAGTTTGGATGTTCTTGGAAGTGTAAAAGATTCCTTATGATCATGTTTGATTTAATAAAACCCAAGCATCGAGCATTTGACTGTCTAACGATTGATCTTTTTAACTTGCAACTAACGAAGCTACATCCAACAATCTTGTAAAACCTCTAGAGAAATCTTGTATGTGAAGCAATGTCATAGATGTCAATACAACATCCGTTAATGCCTCTTTGTAATAGTACTGGAGTCATGCATAAACATGGGAAAAATGATATCTAACAAAAGAAAACTCCTCCGTTGGCGGATATTCATAGGCTACAAGAAGTAGTTTTTTTTTTAATACATGGATGGATGTAAAGGGTGTAAAGAGGAGATAATGTCTTCAATATGACTAGCGATTGACAAATGATTAATTCTCGATGTGTTGTACTCTCTTTCATTGCCAAAGTCATACACCGTCAGAATGGAGTAAAATGAAGTATACATTTTGCTGAGACGAACCTAATATATGTGGCAGTACAAGTTATTTGTGCAATGTAGCTAAATCTCGTGCCAACTTGCCAAACCGAACTGGTCGCTCACTATATCTATTATACTAATTCTAATATATGGTAGATGCTGTCAGAAATATGAGAGTAACAAAATTAAATAGTGATTTGTTTCTGGAAACCCATGCAAACCGATTCCACTATGATAATAAAAGACATCAATGGTGGTCATGGATTGCACCAGGAAAAGTGATGAAAAAAGGTCGACAGTTAGTCCCAAAATTCTCTAGAAAACACTAACTCACCATGTGCACTTGATTTTAAATAGGGCAATAACTAAATTTGCTCCCGTCATCGCTTGTACGTGGAAATATTGAGCACATGACGTCATGCAAGTTCAGAACGCACCAGTGCAGCAGTAAAGCTGGAGGTACACTAGAGTGTACACGTTGACGATTGTACTTGAGTATGACTGTGATCTCATACGTACTCTTGGTTCGTAAAATGTGCTGTAAATGGAGTGGATTTCATAATTCAAGCGACTGCGTCATGGGAACTGGGAACTGGCCCGAGCACACACAATCTGCAGGTCGTTCAAATGGCATGCTAGCTGTGATCCTGCCATCTCTTCACTCCGTACAGCAGCATTTTATTTGATTTCTCTGCAAACCTCGTCCCGTCCAGTGCTATCGTATATACCATTACCGATGCTACGTCATGGCCTCATTGACGAGTATTCCTTGTCGGATAGATTACCTTTTGCTGCAGGTTTGGATGCATAGATGGGACCAACCCTTGCGGTTTGTCATTTTCAGGCCCAAAAGTTCCAGTACTTTTTGCTTACATTCATTCATCAAACATCACCTCACGAATCTACTTCTTCACGATACTTTAATGTAACGATTTAATAAGGGAAGTGTTAGCTATTTCTCACCTTACTGAATATCGCTCTATGATTAGTCACACTATTGAACAGAGCTCTATGATTGGTAAGAGCTATCCCTATGTTGTTTTGTTAATAGAGCTTCGTATACTCCTTGTGCCCACGAGGAACGTGGAGAAATCGTGCACATTAGCCCAAACTGAGGGATAACTAGCCCCTCACTTTAATCGTGTCATTATCGGTTATATCATTGACACTCATTGTCAAGTTCGAGTGTATCTTCACTTTGTGATTGCTAGTCGTATGGCACTTCGCTTCTTGCGAAAGACTCGAACAAACGACAAATGAAGATTCGTTTTCCAATGTATCCATTTCAATAGAGAAACGTTTGAAACGTTCGCTCCACGAGATCAAAGCCCATGCATTGTGCTTTCATATCTAGAAAGGAACAGGACCCTACAACAACTTCGACATTCTCGAGCGCTTTCATGCGCACAGCATCACTTGACGATATTGAAGGTATTAGATTTGGAATGTAGCTATTCAGTTAGAGGATCTGTAGTGCCTCAGGCCCACAACTTTGCCCACAACCTTCAACATGACAGCGGGAAGATGCTGGAAGAAGATAAAATATTTGAAATATGTGGTTCTTATGGCCAAGTGCATGCCAACAAACTGAAACCCGACATTCACTTACGATCGAGTGCACGAAAGCCGAAGGTACAATTTCTTTCCCGATTTGTATGCGAGATCAAACAATTAAACGTGATCATAAAGTGAACGTAAGCTAATGACTCAGATCTGCTCACTGGATATGAACGAACAAAGAGTGATTGTTTCTTGTACAATCTATTCAAGTAGTAAATTCACATGTATGCTCATATTATTCTGGGTGGCTCCCACGTAGTGTAAGAGCTTCCAAGGAATAAGCCCTTCTGTTGTACTAGATAAATAGTTAACTGCATGCTGAACTAACAACTTTTGGAGCGACTATCTTTCTCTTTACAATACATTCTTATATTAAGATATTAATGTTTTAGTTCTCGAGTTCCTGGGCCAGGTGTATACCGCACAGGAGGTAGGTGCCATGGCTTCTCACGTGCAACCATCCAAACGTCGTCTACAAGGGTTTAGGAATATACCAAATGTTATATTCAGTATTCTGAATCGTGGTGAAAAAGTTCTCTCGAACGATGGTAGTTTTTGAGAGGTTTACAGCCCGTGTTGAATTTATGAATATTTCATCTGACATGAAAACCTTCGGTAAGCTAAATGCATCAGTTCTTCCGCAAGAAGAGATATAGGAGCCCTCATATATCTTCATTATTGACTGGTTATAAAGTACACATTATTCATCATTTGCTGACCCCCGAACCGACAGGGCATGGGACTTAGAGATAATCTTAGCAGCATATAAGAAGCCCGAATATGACTCAGTTTCACAATTATCACAGTAACTTGACGGTACCTCAGCTGCTCAGATTTGCTTCTCCAATGGTGACTCCGTCACCAGAAAGAGACCTCGTCATGCGGAAAGGGAACAACTATGATTTGGTGCTTAACCGCAATTTTTAACATAAATCCCTCGTAGCTTGCGTAGGGGATGATGTCAGATGATAGCAGCAGGTCTTACCTCTCCATTTCGCAATGCGCATCAGTGTTCACTCACAGAACCTGAACATCTCATCATCATCGTCTTGACTCTAAAGTCGTCTCTCTCTGTCTGAAGTCAATACTACAAAAGTCTGCGTTCTCTGCCGTTTCTTCTCATGATTACGGCGCAGGAATTCATCATTTGCTAATCGGTCTATGAGTTGAGCTTTGAGATTCAAATCTGAAACATCCTCGCGCTGTATCGGACTCTTTAAACTGGGAGAAATACAATCCTGGCATGACTGTAAAAGCAGCTCTCCGATTCCACCGCAGAACCTTATTCCTCTGCACGCAACTGGTTCTACTGCAGTCCGAGGCATTCAAGCTCCATGCAGTAATCCTCTAAAGCGGAAGAAACGACGGAGAAAATCTCCACAATGTTACGGAGTGACATGAGCTTGTCTGACGGTAGAGTACGTGATGGAGCATTCGTAATGGAGTAGTCGGTGATTCGGACCTCATCGCTCTCAGCTGCTGTCCGGTGCCGCAGCCCGTCTCATGAGTCTCGGTTCCAAGTTGAAGGTCTGAAACCGGCTGACAATGAATGAATGGATGTATGTTTGAATTTCTGGGCATCCTTGCATCTGCTGAGCTGATTTTGTTGACCTCCTCTATGACAATAGAAGAGGAGGAGATCGATCGAGCCGATGACTGCTAGCTGGGAAATAGCAGCGGCAAAGCTGGAACAGATCTTCTGAAAATTCATTAACTTTGGTCAGTTGGAGAAACGAAATCTGATGTTCTGGATGTTGGGATCTCTGCAGACGCACTGCTCTGTCCACAACAGCTCGAAATTTCCATATCGCAGTGGGTTGCGGCGGAAACATGGCAACCCAGACAGCAGTGACGAAAGGTGGCGGCGGGGACGCGATGAATAAGAAGCGCTATGAAGGGCGACTTACGCCTTACGTCTTATGCACAGTCGCCGTCGCAACATGTCTCTCGTTGGCAGGCGGTTATCAGATCAATATTGCAGGCACGATCCAGTATTTTCTGTCTTGCATCCCCTCGTTTCATTTCAAAGCTTTTTACTCTCTCTCACCTTCTGTCGTGTCCTGTTCAATCAGAGACTCTAAGTTCTTCTAACACTCCACGTTTCAAGATGATTGATTCCATTCTCACGTTCATAGCACAACGAGAATCACTGCCTTCAAACATCACTGCTACAGAATGTTCAAAATTCATGGAACGAGAAATTCTGAAGGGCTTTGGGTTTCAGAGTGACACATCCTAGTGAATCTTGAAGAGTGTGAATCGACGTGTGTTTACATCGTTTGGAATGTGTGGGCCAACAGGAGGAGTGTCAGCCATGGACTCGTTTCTTAAAGAGTTCTTCCCGGATGTGTATCGAGGGAGGAGAAGCAAGAACAACTACTGCCGCTACGAGGACCAGTTTCTGCAGTTTTACACCTCGTCGCTGTACCTGGCAGCGCTGCTGAGTTGCATTACGACTCCCTACCCATCTCGCGTCTGGGGAAGGCGCAAAACGATTCTGCTGAGTGGCATCATCTTCATGGTGGGTACTTGTATCGGCGCAGGTGCACTCAATATCGGCATGCTCCTCTCCGGTCGAATTCTCCAAGGTCTTGCCATCGGAATGAGTGTCCAGGTATGCCTCCAGCTGCACTGACAGCTTCTGCTACGAAGGAACGAAGTAATCTGGACTCCTCTGTTCTCGCCATATTCTGATAAACTGGCAGTGCTGAAAACCTGATGGGTTCTGGTTTGCTGTCCTTTCTTCATTTTCTGATCAAATTGCAGAGCTGATTCCATTTCTTCGTGTGCTGCTGCTACCACTTGAAAACTCCTGTCCCTTGGTTTAGTCTCTGTGTGTTCGAATTAAATGGCAGAACTGAATCCATTCCTCCATGTGCTGCGGCTGCTGCTGATGCTACTGATGCTACGGATGCTACCGAAGATTAAATCCTGCCGATTGCTTCTTTCCCACCATTGGTTATCGAGTTGCAGGACCGAGTGAATCTGTGACTCTGTGGGCTGCTGCTTGTGTTGGCCAGATAGCACCCGTGTACATAGCAGAAATGGCACCCGCGCACGCGAGGGGAGCTTTGATGGGAACCATCGAGGTGTCATTCTCGTTCGGGATCTTTGCAGCTGGAATTACGAGCTACAAGGCGGAGACAATCGACCCTTGGGGATGGCGGCTGGCGTTGGGGATGGCAGGAGTGCCGGGCATGGTGTGGTTGTTGGGCGGGATCTTCCTGCCCGACACACCGGCCAGCACTCTGCAGCGCGGATACCCGGAGAAAGCTCGAGAGATTCTGGAGAGAATTCGGGGAACTCCGGACGTGGACTTGGAGTTCCAACACATCACCGAGGCCGTGCACAAAGCGCACTCGGTCACTTTCGATTTCAGAGCTCTGACGCAACGCCGCTACAGGCCGCAGATGATCGTCGGGGTGTGCATTCCCTTCTTCTTCCAGATGACTGGCGCCAACGCCGTCAGCTTCTACGCCCCGGTCTTCTTCCGATCCATGGGCCTCGGAGCCAAGTCCTCTCTGTACTCGAATGCCATCATCGGCGGCGTGAAGGTCATGTCCGCAGCATTAGCAGTTCGCTTCGTCGACAGATGGGGACGCAAAAACTTGCTCTATGAAGGCGGCATCCAGATGTTCGTCTCCTTGGTCAGTACATGCCCTTTCCCCTCCTCGATCCCTTCGATTCCCCTCCCTATCATAAATCTAGCGATGGCCCCTTTCTCTCTTGGATGATGAAATTCGCGTTCAGGTAAAATATTGTCAGAGAGGACAGAATCATATCGAGAGTCTGCAAAATTAGCATCACCGTTCAAATTGCAATCGGAAGCGAAGACCAATCTGAGGGACAAGAGGAAATTATCAATTGCAGTAAGAACACAACGTCCTCGTCTTTGAATAGCTCAGCTCCACGAGCTGGAGCTATGACACGCTTTTGATTTGGACTGACTGGAGCGTGAGCTCGAGGCTCAGAGAACGGACAGAGTCTCACAAGATGTTTACGAAATCTGACTTATGGAAGATGGCGTCTGTGAAATGTGTACAGATTACCATCGGTGCGCTTCTGCAGTACCAACTGGACCTCCACGACCCGCCCTCGAGAGTGGTGGCCATCTGCGTGGTGGTAGTGTTTTGCGTCTACGTGAGCGGCTTCACGTGGTCCTGGTCATCGCTGGCGATGGTGATCCCCGGTGAGATATTTCCCCTGGAGATTCGTTCAGCTGCCATGAGCTTGAACGGGTTCTGCCTCTACATCGTCGGCTTCAACATCGCTCAGTGGTTCTACGTCATCCTCTGCGGCATGCGATTCGGCATCTTCTACTTCTTCGCGTTCTGGATCGCAGTCATGACCATTTTCGTGTTTGCCCTGGTCCCCGAAACCAAGGGTGTCGGTCTCGAGAGAACGCCAGTTCTGTTTGAACAGCATTGGTTCTGGAGGAGGTTTGTTCCCTCGAGCTTAGAAGCACAGCAGACCAAGGTTCAAGACAACTTGTGACTCGCTCGTATTTCAAGGTGTAATAGTCTCGGCCTGTACGAGTCACCTTCAGGTCCGAGGTCATTTGTTCCATCGATACCTTCTCAATTCAACGAAAGGGATTTTCATCAGATGTTTATTCGTTGATCTCCATGCTTTAGCTGCTAAGAATTGTGTCTAGAATAAAATCCTCACGAATCTGACTTGCAGAGGCATCACAGAAGCGAGAGCCCAAGTTTAGGACGAACTTCGGGTGAGAGGAGAGAAGAGACTCGATGGTCGATGTTTGTGTCATGTCACTCGTCAGCTCTATCTCTTCTTCACGAGGCTCTTTATAGAAAGTTGTAATAAAAATGCTTCTGGAGTCTTGGAGATTAGATCTTCTCACGCACTTATTACACGCCACAAGATTATCCATTCATTCAATGGGTCGGCAATTAATGAGACGGTGAAGATTGTGTGGTCGATTACAAGGCAAGAAGGAGAAGGAGACGAATGGAATGTAAAATATGATGGAACATCTTGGAGAGGAGTACAAAGCCCATGACAAAAAACTGGATAATTTGCAGTAATCAGTATTCGTAGAGAGAAAATCTTCCAACATGAAAGCAACACAACCTTCAATTTGACATGAGAGGTTGGTTAGAAAGGTGTAGAATTTGCCACAGATTTCACACAATCTGTGGCAAATAGTGATTTTTCTTGAAATGTCATGTACTTATCATAGTCTTTGCTTTAAGTGCCACGGTCTTAGAGTAACTATCTAAAGCCGTGTTGACTGCTGGACTGCTCTAAAATATTGAAAAAACCCTTCAGCTTTAATGATTGGTAAACCTAACGTTGGAATCCTTATTCTTGGAGATAATTATTTGATGGGACCTCGAAACTCAAATTTCTTGATCGGTCCAACAGGTTTCATTTTACACTATGGGACCCCACTAGATGGCCAAGCACATCACCTTCAACTATGTTTTAATAAAAAATTTTATAATTTGACAATTTGCGGTGGTATAATGTGGAGAGTGTATGCCACTATCGGGCCAAAATACTTTACCGTGAGAGTAATTTGACCACTCGTTTACTAAGAATAATAATGATGCCCTATACACCATGATGCTAAAGTAATCTCATATGGTCTTGCAATAACGAGAGCCTAGAGCTTCCTACTCGAGATTATGCCGAGAGAGTATTAGAACATAGTTGACGGTGGGTTGCAGGGCTAAATGAAAACTGTTGGGTCTCATCAAGTTTGTTGGGTTTCCTAGGTTCCATCAAGTAATTTACTAGATGTAAATCCCATGGATTGTTCGAAAATTATCGAATGAGAATTTTGTGATGTATCATTTCCCGATGACTCAACAAATGAAAACTGTTGGGTCTCATCAAGTTTGTTGCGTTTCCTAGGTTCCATCAAGTAATTTACTAGATGTAAATCCCATGGATTGTTCGAAAATTATCGAATGAGAATTTTGTGATGTATCATTTCCCGATGACTCAACAAATGAAAACTGTTGGGTCTCATCAAGTTTGTTGCGTTTCCTAGGTTCCATCAAGTAATTTACTAGATGTAAATCCCATGGATTGTTCGAAAATTATCGAATGAGAATTTTGTTATGTATCATTTCCCGATGACTCAACAAAACACTTTGGAAAATGATTGTTGGTAAATCATACCAGTTTCACTATTCAATGTTAAAGGGACCTCCCATCTTTCAAGACATCAAACAATGGTAAGGATTGACGGCAGCACTGACTCTACAACCAAAGTACGTCAAATGTAATAAAATCCCACCACGTTTCAATTAAGTTTACTCATGAAAATAACTTCCTTTTCAGAATGAGGCCCCTTTAGCAGCATTTTGCACTCATGTTTGCTTCAACAATGACATATATGGGTCATATCTTGAGATATTGTTATTACAACTGAACAATGTAATAATTACGGTAAGAGAAAACATGCACGTGCTCGCCTACGTTAAGATTAAATAGAGGTAGTGATATCCTCATGAAACTGGAGTTAGATTAAGAAAGAAAGAGCTAACACCAGTTTCATGAGGATATCGTGGAATCAAAGGAAGATTTTGCAATTTCGAGTTAGAAGTATACATACTTATATTTTTTAGTTTTTTTGAGAAAAATCATCATCATGAAAATAACACTTTGCTTACACTTATTTTCACAAGTTTCAACCATGTGAATCTTATTTGTATAACTAACCATGATGATAATCATTAGCCTCTAGTTCCAAGATTATAAACTGGATGCAAGTTTTCGTTTAAGATGATCCTAAAAGAATATATGAATCCATTGATCATTGAACTGAATTTTTTGGTATATGAACGATTTCACGCTAGTCTACATCAAGTTCACTTTCTTTCAAATTTTTATCAATTTTACACATATCTTTCCAAGACCATAACTTACTATGTTCTTTCAAGCAAAACATCGTTCCATATTGTGTGATGTTTGGAATTTAGACATAATGTATGATTTATATACAATAAATAAAAATATTTAGACAGATCTAACGCCAAATACAGTGGACTAATAATAGTTTATTTTTCTCACTCCTCGTAAGCAAAGTGGATAATGTAACCAAAAATATCTAAACAAATAATACAAATGCAAGGTGAAAATACTGTAGCATTCCCCGTTGTGGACTATCGATCACAAAGATAATATTCCACAAGATAATCATTGTTATTTTGTATTTCAGGCCTCCTGCACTGGAACCGCAGTCCTCCAGGTGACAATTCCGCAGCATATACGGGTCATGAACATGATAATTACCTTTCTCGCGAGAAAAAAACCTCAAGTGGGCTAAAAATATGTCAAATCTCAAAACGTCAGGCGCCTACTATAGTACCTGTACAGTCTCAAATGATGGCGATCGTTTTTCCATGAAACCGCAAAAAAAAACCGCAATGTCACGTGTCATTATTGCCTTAATGCGTGCTGCGTAATTGCATGTAAGGACTGTCAAGACTTGTCATTTTGACTTTAATATTGGAGAATTTTCAGTATTCTTCCGGCGGTTCAAGCCAAGGTAGTGCTCGGTCTGCCCAGATTTGTCAGAAGTCGACTCCAAGGTCTCCATTACTCCACAGCCCATGCTCCTATAAGACTAGGTAACTTTTCCTAAAATCTGGGGTTCTGTTTTCAGATGCTAAAACTAATTTGGCCAATCTCGCCAAATTATACGAAAGGTCACAGGAATTCCCGCGTACGGAGGCAATCGAACGCAGGGAAGAAGAGGGAGTTCCGGTAATAATGCGTGCTCCGGAGAGTGCCGGTGAATCGTGAATAAGTTGCGAATAGGAGCCAAAATTATGTATCCTACTAATTAAGAACTGGAAAGCAAGTTGTAAAAAATAATTTTACACTATTTTATCATTTTATTTTCTTGTTTTCACATTATTTATACATTATTTTCTTTTGAACGTTGTAAAATTTTTCTTGGTTAAATTATAAAGATCCGGGTATATTTTATTTTGAATTACGAATTTTGTTGAAAACGACTTCTCCATTTGATGATGGACAAATCGATTCTGTACCAACATTATGCATATAAAATAATAAAAAACGCTCAAAACAATTATCACCAAAGACGAAAAATAATAAAATTATAATGATCTTAAAATGCAGACTCTCTAGAGATACTTCAAATGCTTATGTCATTTGTTAAGGCTGCTCGAACCGTGAAAACCATCGACGTGGATAGAAGGATTTTGTTGCGAGAAGAGAGGTTCATGAGTGTGAGGATAATCAATCTGCAGAGAGTGTGGAGTAGCTAGTCCAGTCCGTATAAAATTTGGCAAATGCTAGGTTTATGAAAATTAAAGTAATTTTGGCCAATTTTTCTCCTTGATTTGGTCTTCTTCTATTTCTAGAACTATGGATAGGACAGGGCATATGGAAGGAACAAAATTGCGCGGTGTGCAGAACAACAATGCAAATGAACTCCTTTCGTTTCTTCTGCATCTGGGCTGGTGGTGTTTTTGCAAGGGGCACAGAGCAATTCATGGGACTAGAGTAATCAGGGTACTACAACGGGACTTGATGCAAATGAAGAGGGTCTTCCATCTGCCCACCGCCACTTTTGATTACTCTGAAAATCAGTTCCTTCGTGTGATTTGCAGTGGAACAGTACTACAGTGGCAGTCTAATATAGACTGAACTCTTTATACTGCTAGTTTGAGTGCAACACAATGTCAAAGTAGGCACACTGCCAATTGTCAATCCTCCTGTATCTATTCAAACTTTGACCACTCGATTACTTAGATTTTGGGAATGGATTTTGATATGGTAAGTATTGAGGATAACTTCACGTTATTTGGCTTCTGATGTCGAGAGTGGTGGCTATAAAATTACGCTATTTAGATTAACCATAAGTTGTTATACATCTACAATAGATGCCAGTCAAATATTTCAACATATCCGGGATCATGAAAGATCCCAATGGAATCTGGTGCCGGAACCGAATTGGTGGTATTGTTCGACTTCAGATCGAGGAATGAGGATCCGAGAAGGCAGTATTTTGTTGGGAACCTAAGCGACGCGAGTCCTTTCTTCTGGACGGGGATTCGTTGCAACAAATTGATACTGTCAATACTCCAGCATCAAATTGCCAGGAATCCAACTGTGGGGATCCATATCTTCTTCTTTAGACAGGCTTTCGGATCTGCAGGAGTTGGATGTGTCCAACAACTCGTTTCAGGTGCTCTTGCCCCACGTGAATGACTTCGAGAATTCCAATAATCTGCTGTCAGGACAGATTCCATCAGAGCTTGGCAACATGCAAAAGTTGTTAATTTGGAAAAACAGACTGACAAGTCTCATTCGCACCTCCTTGAGCAAATGCTCCGCGATCGAAGATCTTCAACTGAATGAGAATCAACTCGAGGGGAGCATGCCTAAGATTATCTAATCTATCTTTTCTCATTTACCTAACGGTCAGCAGCAATGGACCCACTGGTTCAATACAAGCTAGCCTCGGGAAGCTGCAACTCGTGGACGACTTATGGCTGTTCAAAAATCAGCTCAGTGGTTCCATACCCGAAACTCGGGACGGATCCCTCGAGCCTTGGGAAACCTGCAGCAATCTCAAAGAGCTCCTGATGTCCCGCAACAAGCTTTCTATTAGATAGCACGTCTCACAGTCACTCTCGTGCAAGGGGAAGTCTGAACAGGAAGAACTTAAGTGGGGAACGAGACCGGGTTTATACCCAGACAATACACAATACACAGGAACAACTCTGATACATGCATCCACGTAGCGAAGTCTTACTAGCACCCATGCTAACTACTTACTATAAACATGCAAGGTGCACGTATCTAGAAGTAAGTGAGTAGTTTCAGTATTAACACTTTCCATATCCATTCTTGAGCGTCCGGTTGAAATATTGGACTCCTCCAGCAACCATCTGATCCGATCTGGGTGGTCCTGTGCTGGGCAACCTGAGTTCCGTCGGCCGTCTCAAACTCGGCAGGAACAAGATGTCGACGACACACCATCCTCGGGCCTCGGAAGCTCAGAAATTCCTCTACAACTTTTGACAGTTGTAGAGAAAAGAATTTGTCGTCAGATCGCTGAGTTGTTGGGCGAAGCTCATCGATCCCGACCTGAGCAACAATCTCTTCAGCGAGCTGGAGTACAAAGCTCGTTGACACTGTCGGCAACCGTCTGACCGGCAACTTACCGGAGCAGACGGGGTGCCTTGAAGGACGGTCCCGTACCTTCTTCCATCGTATCCAAACTCGAGTACTTGGAATCTCTGGACCCGCCGAGGAGCATTCTCTCGGGCCGGATGCCGGAAACTCGTTTACGTCGACGTGAGCTACAACAATCCATTCCCGCCCGACTCCTCCTCGCAGCCGCAAACACTGAATTTAACGCTGTGCGGCTTACCCTCCGGCTATATTCCGCGAATTTCTGCATTATCAGGTGACGGTTCTTAACTTCCGGAACGGGAGGATCGTCGAGGACCGTCGATGGCCGAAATCTGCGGCTTTGTTGTTTTACTGTTCGGCAGATTATTTTTCTTCGTCCGCAAGCTTACACAGCCAAATCTAATCTAATTTTTTATATTCACAATTTTAGTTCAGCTGCAAGTTTCATGATACATAGTTAAATCTTCCAATAGTGTCACATTTTATGAGTGACACAATTAAAATTGCAAAAATTTAATTCTTAAGTGTAAATCTGCTCAATATGTCACTATTGTCAATAGTGACATGATTCTATCCAATAGTCACAATTCTAGTGTAATTTCGGAACTAAAATTCTTGTCATGATCACAATGCATAGCTATGAGAATAAAAGAATGTGTCATACGATTATTCAAAGGTTCATCTCAACAATACTCTGTCTGGGTTTCAATAAAATTCTTGGCTAGGTATATTATCATCAATTGTTTCATTTACTTTTTTTTGTATTAATATGAATTCAAACGCAATTATAATTACTACTTAATTGTCTTGAACAATAAAGATGTGCAAATGAAAACAATGTTGAAACCAAACAACACATTTATAGAATATCATAGTACTAATGTAGTGTACGATAAGAAATCTATACAATTTAATCTATTATAAATGACGCGTACAACCTTAGCTATTGGGAGGTTTAACTCTGTAAATACAAGTGAGGAGAAATATAATAAAAAAAACTTTGAGGGAAGACACATATTTCAAGCAGTAGCAAAATCAATAATCCATGACGCTTTACCTTTCGAAACCGCATTTTGTTTACATAATTTGCCTTTGAGAGAGGAAGAGTACTTCTTGAAAATATTCTTGTATTTACATCAAGCTAAAAATTTAATGGGGATTGGTCTTCTAAGGGTTATGGACCGTTGGGATTCAAGTTCACTCTCAATCCACGTGCAGAGATCCGTGGTTTCTTATTGGCCCAGTCACGCCATGCAGTGCGTATAAGTGCCATTCAGAGAGATCGGGCTTTCATTCTAATTTCTCGAAGCTTGTGGCCTTTGGGAAGCCTTCACGGATTGGAAAGATTTGCTTTCAAGACAATCGACAATCATGAAAGTGAAATCCGAATCCTCGGTCGATCAGAAGAAACCAGTTACAACTGCAGCTACGAAGATTGCAATTAGTGATGATGATGAGGATGATGATGATACCAAGGTTGTTGAGCTGGAGGAGAAGACGAAGAAACAAAGCCGGCCGAAGAAATCGATGAAGAATCTGGTCCTTAAATCCAAAGGAAAGAGCAAGAGAAAGAGCGATAATAGCACTCAGTCTACTGCCAATACGGACGGTGTCAAGAAGAGGAGGAAACCGAAGAAGTCTGTTGAGAGTTACCGGATTTACATCTACAAAGTTCTGAAGCAGGTCCATCCGGAATTTGGAATCTCCTCCAAGGCCATGAGTATTATGAACTCTTTCTTGAATGATATATTTGAAAGACTTGCTTCGGAGGCAGTCAGATTGTCACGATACAGCAAGAAACCCACGGTCGCTTCACGTGAGATTCAAACTGCAGTTCGACTCACCTTTCCTGGTGAGTTGGCGAAGCATGCAATTGCAGAAGGTACCAAAGCTGTGGGGAAATTCACTACTTTGATTAAATCTTCTTGACAGTGTGACAATAGTTTCTTGGAGTTGGGATTCAAACTGCAGTTCGACTCACCTTTCCCGGTGAGCTGGCCAAGCATGCAGTTGCAGAAGGTACCAAAGCTGTGGGGAAATTCACTACTTTGATTAAATCTTCTTGACAGTGTCACAATAGTTTCTTGGAGTTGGGATTCAAACTGCAGTTCGACTCACCTTTCCCGGGGAGCTGGCCAAGCATGCAGTTGCAGAAGGTACCAAAGCTGTGGGGAAATTCACTACTTTGATTAAATCTTCTTGACAGTGTCACAATAGTTTCTTGGAGCTCATGTTTGCGAGCTGCCAAATTGTGGACTTCAACGAGAGACTGGAGCTCGATAACGCCATAAAGTAGTCTTCTAAATCTTCTATACATTTTGGTATGACAGATAAGATGAGAGTAGAGTGCTGTTTCCAGGAAGGGGAAACAACATCAAATCTTGTATGTAATAAAACTAGATGCGTCAGGTGGATGTCAATGGCATAGTGAATCAAATCGATGCATAGTCTTGAAAATCTGGCATAAACCTCGTCAATGGAGTCTGCGATTTAATAATATTCCGGTGTGTCTTCTTTACAACAAGTTCAGAATTTGTGGCAATCATGAATTTGTATCAAGCTATGATGAACTGAAGGGAAGAGTAACAAGTCTCTCTGATGTTTCATTCAGAAGTGATACACTCATCCCTTCACGGCTTTGGATACAGTTGATACATTATCACTGCTTCATGGAGGGAGAGAATCGATGTGCAGATCTTGTTTTTTTAGTTCCATGGCTAAATGAAAGGAATGAAAATATCGCGTATTATTCCTGTGTAACCAAATATTTCAAATATATTTATGTAAAGAATGAGATTCAAATGCAGTTCGACCAGGCTAAGTCCTTGAAGCCGTTAAGCCGTTTATGAATTCAATCAGACAAAAAAACAGGCACCGCACTCTTTGCAACACATCGATCATGAGGCTCGATATGTAAATTATAATTCCATTGACACCCGTTTTTCTTTCCAATCTAGGAGTATACATTGATCTCTGTTTTGAGGTTGTGATATTCTACACTGCACACAAAATCTTGAAGTCAAATCTATTTTTCAAATTTTTATATATGAAGAAAATTTCCCATTTTCAATTCGTAGAAATTGGATAGACAATCAATATTCTAAATAAAATCATAAGTGTTGAATGACATGTCCAATTAAATGTAAAAATGTGAAGAATAATTCTTGATTCTTCAAGAAACTGAAAAAATAACATTACATAAAAATTATTATCATGAAATTCTGAATTTGTTAAATTTTGGTTTTGGATAAAAAGCGGATTATTGTTCTCAGTTAATGCATTTCAGGGTGTACTGATCTTTTATATTGAAAGATTGAATATTTTTAAGCATCAATTATATACATATATATTTACTAATCACTAAATCTTTGTAAGTTAAACTTTAACAGATTATTTAAATTAAAAAATACACCAAATTATTTGTGAATGAATGAGTGACTTTAAATCGTGCTCAGTTGTCATTGTATTCCATGCATATATTATATAAACAAATTCAGATGTACAGACTATATACAGTGATTTTTTGGAATACTAAAACCTGGGTAGTCAATTCATATAAATTCGCTTCGAAAGAGGTCAATAAGTGCCACGGTATGCAACCTTCTTCCGATGATAACTGTCCCGTCAAGTTGGTGTGCTGCAAGTTCTCGCATAGGCTCGGTGATCTACAGGAATGGGGCATGTGAGCTACCTTCAACTCCTCCAGGTCGCCGAGCTTTAATGGGATGGGACCCGTCAATCTTTCAGTTGCGGGCTTGCCTAATTGATGCTGACCACCTGACCGGACGAGCAGTTAGTTGCACAGCTGCCCCGTGCACAGTCATTGAGCTTCCAATTAGAGAAATTAGAGAGTTCATTGGTCTTATCCTCGAGCATAGCATACACCTGAATCTGAATGAGATCAGCACCTGTACCCCCGATTGCTCCTGCAATTGCACAATAGTCCTCGTCTGAACTGAACTTGGACCTCCTGTCAACATTTGAACACCACGTTACAGATAGTTACCCACAAACACAGCCAACGAGCAAGCCCAGTGACAGAAGAACACAAAAAGTATGGTCCGCTGGATTCCTACGTGCAAATGAATCCATAGCACTGGAACCCGCTGGAATCCATATTATGCTTGGGTAACTCCTCCCTAACTTCCTCCATCAGAGAAATGTGCTTCGGTATTCTTTTTTAGTCGAGCTAACCGATTGACTCGAGACACCCTCTCTTGACTGTAGAGGTTTGTCATGAGACCACCGCATTCACTCTGAAGCTCCTCGAGACGATGACAGCTCAACGATCGAACGAACAAAAGCAGATGTAGCAGCAGGTGCTACATATCCATATTAAAACTCCGAATCCAGTTGCAGACATGAATGTGTAACGTCCACATGAATTCACATATATATGTCTGTAAACGGATAATGAATTCAAGATCAACTACAGGAGGATTTGGTTTGACAATAAACGATACAATCGAGTCAATTTGACAAACAACGTGTGGAGACTTCGGCCGTGGAGCTTTTGTGCTCTGAACACCTCGTCATCCCCTGCATTGCCCTAGTTTGGGGTCGACGGGTCCCGAGTACTCTTGACCCCAAAGTCCGGAATGACTGCAACCTCTGATGTGGTAATCATCGAAACAGACCCTTCCCGCGAGACATCGCGGGAATTACAATTCTCGAATCTTCAACGCAACATTATCCAAACAAACGCAGTCGTACCAAGACTGAAGGCCACACTGACATTCGTTGACCTTCGGAGTGTGACTATTCATTAGTGCTAGTGTCAGGTTTTCTCATGCAATTGCGCGCCAACCTTCAATCTTTGTCCGAGAATCATTGCCATCCGTCTACCGTGAGGAAGAGTTGCGTCAGAGTAATAACGCCTTCCATAAAATCTACACCTGTTTAATAATCCTCAATTCAGATTTGATTACCTTGACGAATTTGTTTCAATGTCTTCAATCAGGATTACTACGAAATACACTTCGATCTGGTTGTGTTTAAACATTAAGAAATATAATACTAAGTCGTTAGTACAAATCTTGTTCAATGCACGAGTTACTTGAACATATTATTGCAAACCTTGTACGGACGTTAACCCAAAATCAATAGTTGCAGATCTAGTCAAAAGTAAATTTTCTTACAACATTATTGATGTAGAATTGTCGTAAGATACCCTATTCCACTGCCTCTAACAAGAAAATAGTTGGTTTGAAAGATGGTTGTGTTTCATTACACTTTAGCCAATTAGTTTCATTACATCGTATTTGTTATTACTTAATTAACTGGTTTAATACCAAATTATAAGTTAGTATTCTTAAAAAATCTATTTATAAGATACTAGAAATACATTTACACTCAATACATTGAGATGTTAAAAATTATCATGTTTTAAATCTCAAGATCTACATCAATATTCTCTACTGAAATGAAATTGTGCTAGTGTTAGATCATGCAACTTCATCACTACCGCGTGAGTACTGCATTGATTTAGTTGTGACTATTCACTGAAAGTGCATTATTTAATAATATCCAAAAATTTTAGTCAATTGATGTTTATTAGAGTTGATCAATCTCTCGTAGTTTATACAAATATATGGCACCAAATAGCATACTTTCATATGGATGATATTTGATAAAATTCTATATTTCAAAATAAAATATATTTTTTCTATCTTTTAAGATAAGCAATTTCTTTGTAAGTTTTTAAAGACTTTTACAATAAAATATATCTAGTTACTATATGATCTTTGTATACAGTTTTGCTCTATATTGTGTTATAATTTCTAATTAACTTTACTGCACCAAGAGAAAAATTATTTATGTAATGACTTTTTCTAGAAAATTCCTCATAATAATCATCTTATTAAAAAATATTGCAAATTTCAAAACATCCTGATTCATTCATTTATTTCATTATTTTGAGTTAGTCTAATTAATGTAACGTAGATTTACATTAATTAAAGAGGTGATCTGGATCTGAAGAAGTATCTCAAAATTATGTTTCTATAGACATATGATCAAAAAGATGAATCACATTTATTATTTTTGTTGGTTGTTTAGATGATTGAATTGAAAATTTACAGTTATTTTGAATGTAAGACACGTAACATTTTGGTGCAAGAAAGTGATAATATTCATCATAACTGTATCACTTTAAATACAAAATTTTTTTCTGAAACATATAGATTAAACAAATCAAAATCAACATTTATTCATTACATTTAATAAAAATGCTATTTACATACAATAGACATCACAGTTATCATCAAGCAAGTTATACTTAACATTTTTACTTCTATGCAAATAAATTCAAGTATTTTATACTGATGTTAATTTTTGAAAGTCAAGGTGTCTCGGAAGATGGAGACAGAGGCAGATTGGTTCGAACTGGAAGGCGTTTTGGCTCTTTTCAAACTTAACGGCCGTCTAGTTCTTTCCAAACTTAGCGGAGATTCGGCTCTTTCCAAACTCAAGGGCAATTTGGCTCTTTCCAAACTTAGCAACGGTTTTCTTCTTTCTAAATTGAAAGACTTTTAAGACTTTTTTCCAACTTAGTCGCGCTAATATATTTCGAAGAGTTTCCTTTAGAGTTTTCCTAGCAATATAAATACAAAACTTTGGTACATTGTATCTCACTCTCATCAACACAAATTGTATTTGTGCTTTCACTATCAGCACTAATGTTACTACTAGGTACTATAGTCTGAGCTTTGTATGAGTTGCCATCTATAACCAATACTACTTTCAGCCATAATATCAAATACTATGATCTGAGTGTTATATAAGATTTTGTCCACAATAGGAGTATTATTGTATGAATCTTGTGTGAGTTGCCTTTTGCAACAGTTTGACGAGTATCCACTACCAAGATTGATAGCGTTCATAATATCCAAATCCACGATGTGGTTTCCATGTTGCAACAACTACAATAGGAAATGTCAACATACGAAAGACTATGAAACAACTTTTAGTTGTTCGCGCTTCAATTCATGTGTAAGCTATTCTAGCAAATTCAGTTCAATAGTTGCCAAAAGATTATCGAGTAAGCTTGTCAAAGAAATTAAACAAAGATTGGACATAACTTTGAAATTTGATCAATCAAGTTTGACTTGTCTATTGTCTCCAACCACACAGAGACGCAACTGAAGAAATAAACGTTATATTCTTTGGATCATTGCTCATTAGAACTACATTATCTTGATTTTTGTTATTATTGAAAAATGATTCACCGCTTTCAAAAAACCTTCATAAATTCTTGGAGTAATTTAGCACTACGTATGGAGAGAGATTTGATCATTATAGAAAAAACAAAATTTCAAACATTGTAACAACGATCTCGTTTGGCTTTAGCATACGTTGCAAAATTTCAACAACTTGCAAGTGATCTTGAGTGTAACAACAACAAGACTTTCATCATCATGTTTTGATGTTAATTTCACAATAATATAAAAAAAAAAATTGCTGAAATTTTCAAACGAAATACTCTAGTAAAAACCATTCTCAAGCAATTGACGGTGGGAATCAGATGTTGAAACAATGATGATAGCAACAATTGCTCTTTGATTTGCATTGTATCGAGCGGATTGCACAGCTCCAATCCGTCAAACATCTTCAAACATTTTGATCCGAACTCATGCAAAATTCATACTTCAAGAATTAAAAAACCAACCGTAGAGGAAAAAGAACAACATTTTTTTTCTTCTGCAGTTAGTTTAAATTTTTATATTAATTATGTAGTCAAGAAC